GATTTCACTTGCCAGCACTGTAGTTACTCGTACTTAGTTCTGTGTGTGTGGGTGTGCGTCTGTGTGCGCGTGTGTGTACGTGCGTGTGTGTATGCGTGCGCGCGCGTGTGTTGTCGCAGCAGTGGATCAATGGTAACGTTGAGACAGGTCTCTTGAAGGAGAGAGGCTGTCACGTCCCGGATCTCATTATGGCGGATAATGATAAAACCGCCAAGGGGACATGACAAGGCTTGGCCAAGACCGTTATCCCGTCCACAAGAATGACTGAGTACGTAACCTCGCCCTTCTCGGTGGCATCCCACCATAACGGAGACACAAGCCGTCACTAAATTCGGCTCTGCTGAATGAAAAACATACTCTTTCAACGGACGGCACGTAAGCCAACTCGAGGCACCATGTGGCACCATTCCTGGGCGGTAGGCCGTGCTGGACGCTCTTGCCGAGCGACGGGGCCTCTTCTCAGGCCAGTCACCAGCCATAAGCTATCTCCGGTATTACACGCACAATGGGCGCGCCTAACTGACCTATCCGGCTTTGGTAGCGGCTTGGGGGGGGGGGGGGGGGATCGGGCTGGTCCTGATGACAGGGCACAATGGTTGCTGGAGGACAGACAATCATGACGATGGTGCCTCATCTCATCAAGGAAAAGTGCAACAAGTATCTGCTGCACCTGAACTGGCAAACAGCCACCGACGCCTTATGAAATGGTGTAGACCAGCGCCTCACTAGTGTCTCAGAGTCTCCTCCCTCCTCACTACATCTTTTTACAAGATGCACAACTCTCTGGCAGGCACATGGGGCTAGCATGGGGCTAGCATGGGACTAGCATGGGGCTAGCATGGGGCTAGCATGGGGCTAGCATGGGACTAGCATGGGGCTAGCATGGGACTAGCATGGGACTAGCATGGGGCTAGCATGGGGCTAGCATGGGGCTAGCATGGGGCTAGCATGGGACTAGCATGGGGCTAGCATGGGACTAGCATTGGGATAGCATGGGGCTAGCATGGGGCTAGCATGGGGCTAGCATGGGGCTAGCATGGGGCTAGCCTGGGGCTAGCATGGGGCTAGCATGGGGCTAGCATGGGACTAGCATGGGGCTAGCATGGGGCTAGCATGGGACTAGCATGGGACTAGCATGGGGCTAGCATGGGGCTAGCATGGGGCTAGTATGGGACTAGCATGGGGATAGCATGGGGCTAGCATGGGACTAGCATGGGGCTAGCATGGGACTAGCATGGGAGAAGCATGGGGCTAGCATGGGGCTAGCATGGGACTAGCATGGGGCTAGCATGGGGCTAGCATGGGGCTAGCATGGGACTAGCATGGGGCGAGCATGGGGCTAGCTTGGGACTAGCATGGGACTAGCATGGGGCTAGCATGGGGCTAGCATGGGACTAGCATGGGACTAGCATGGGGCTAGCATGGGACTAGCATGGGGCTAGCATGGGACTAGCATTGGGCTAGCATGGGGCTAGCATGGGACTAGCATGGGACTAGCATGGGGCTAGCATGGGGCTAGCATGGGACTAGCATGGGGCTAGCATGGGGCTAGCATGGGACTAGCATGGGACTAGCATGGGGCTAGCATGGGGCTAGCATGGGACTAGCATTGGACTAGCATGGGGCTAGCATGGGGCTAGCATTGGACTAGCATGGGGCTAGCATGGGACTAGCATGGGGCTAGCATGGGGCTAGCATGGGACTAGCATGGGACTAGCATGGGGCTAGCATGGGGCTAGCATGGGACTAGCATGGGGCTAGCATGGGACTAGCATGGGACTAGCATGGGGCTAGCATGGGGCTAGCATGGGGCTAGCATGGGGCTAGCATGGGGCTAGCATGGGACTAGCATGGGACTAGCATGGGACTAGCATGGATCTAGCATGGGACTAGCATGGGGCTAGCATGGGACTAGCATGGGACTAGCATGGGACTAGCGTGGGGCTAGCATGGGCTAGCATGGGGCTAGCATGGGACTAGCATGGGGCTAGCATGGGACTAGCATTGGACTAGCATGGGACTAGCATGGGGCTAGCATGGGGCTAGCATGGGACTAGCATGGGACTAGCATGGGACTAGCATGGGACTAGCATGGGACTAGCATGGATCTAGCATGGGACTAGCATGGGGCTAGCATGGGACTAGCATGGGACTAGCATGGGACTAGCGTGGGGCTAGCATGGGCTAGCATGGGGCTAGCATGGGACTAGCATGGGGCTAGCATGGGACTATCATTGGACTAGCATGGGACTAGCATGGGGCTAGCATGGGGCTAGCATGGGACTAGCATGGGACTAGCATGGGGCTAGCATGGGACTAGCATGGGACTAGCATGGGGCTAGCATGGGACTAGCATGGGACTAGCATGGGGCTAGCATGGGACTAGCATGGGGCTAGCATGGGCTGAGATGGTGCTGGTGTGGCTTGCCATGCTCAACCGACCAGAGATCTCGGCATCTTCAAATGGCAGGCGCACCAACATGATGTGATTGTTATCTCTCATTCTGCTTCTCTCAGGCCATCTACCTACAGTGTATTGCCCACGTTCCTCACTATTATTCATTACCCCTTCCTCCCACACTGTAGTCCCCTTACTGCATATGACACCAAAAAATCTAGCCAACCTGTGGCAGCCAGATGAGCTGTCTTCGGGATTACAAATTTACAATGACTTTAATACTGCACTCTGTAGAATGAAGTTGAAGACACCACTGCAGCTGTACGTATGGTTGATAAAATAATAATATTATGGTGGTAAAGACCGTGACACCTGGCAATATGGCGGTAAACACACGCCTGCCCTTCAACTTCATTCTCCCGAGTCAAGCTCCGTATGAAGACATCCAAGAGGAAGATTGCCTGATGAGTCCAGCGGGGACGAAACGTAGATCTCTCATCTACGTCGCAATCGAGCTACATGTACATGTATGTCGTTGCTGTGTCATCTTCTACATGTATGTACCATACGTTACTTGATGTACCAGCCTGCTATGCTGGATACCGCCAACCCTGCTTCGACGAGGCGCCAGGCGCGAACTGATGGTGGTGGTGGTGGTTGGTTGGTTGGTTTTTATTTCACTTCGCACATTCAAACGGGATGACGACCCAATAATTTGACGGCGAAGGCTTAGCCTAGAAGTGGCTATGGAAGAACATAGTAAAAGCTATGGAAGCACATAGTAAGAGAATAGGATACTAATAACTGCGGGTAAACGGGGGAGAGAATACGATGTATCTGTGATACTACGTGCGGGTTACTGAACTGCACGGGGAGGGAGAGCAGAGCGATCAGCAGCAACTCGAACTACTCCCTACAGGCGTATGGTACACATGCATGCTTAAACTCAGGTAGCCGGGTAATTGTGCGGACCTCACCAGGGAGAGCGTTCCACAGCAGAGCACCAGCAACAGGTGGTGAGAAGGAGAGCTCTGTGCCAGAACTTTGTAGCTTTTAGAGAGCGTGTGTGAGCAGGCGTGTATTTACCGCCATATTGCCATGTGTGTCTTTACCACCATATTAGTCAACTGACCCCAGATAATAGGAGGACAGAGAAAGTGTTTTTGCTCCGAGTTTCACGCACTAAGAGCGATCATCAGAAAACAGTAATGAGAAATCTGGATCAGTATTGGAATATATACTCACAAAGCAAAGTGTAAATAGCTGCAGCATGGCGCAAATCCAAAAGTTGTGAATGTCAACTGACCTCTGTACTGTAGTTGACCTAACGTCACATGTACAGGTAGGCGGTATGGGTGTCTCGGTCTCGCCACATACCGTATTATCGCTAATAATATAAGCACAGTCTCCAATAATAGCACGTGTCCAATAATAGAACACCTTGGGGCGGCATTCAAAAAATAAAGTGCTCAGTCTCCATTATAAGCACACTGTGTAAATTCATTATCTGTACCGGCGAAAAACACCCTGAAATGTGTGCGTCATACATGAATTTGGCATGGCAACAGGCCTCTGAAATGAGGTTGAAATAATAATGGAACAGTCTCCAATAAAGGAACGTCTCCGTTAATAGCACGGGGCGGAGGTACATTGAAAAAATAAAGGACCGTGCTTATATTAGAGATAATACGGTAATTACTACTCACTGGCATTAGGACTAGGAGATGGCAGGCTAGCTATGTGATGGCGTGAATGACGCGCTCGGTGTTTGCCCACATGCAGGGAGGCCTCCGGCCGGGGTAGAGGTGTTAATGTAGTTGGCCAATTGCCATTGACCTACAGTGCTGACAACTGAAATCCGACCGACCCCTGGCCTGAGCGGTGCGCTCACATCGCAAAGACCCCACACGGGATAGTAAAACTACGAAATAGAGACCGCTAGAATGTGAATGCATCGCTAAGGGATCGGATTTCAGTTGCCAGGACTGTACCATCAACAGCAGATAGCGCCCCCCCCCCCCCCGGCCCGGGGTTGGGTACTCTTAGCAGTATGCATACTGAAATGTACACAGGAGAGGCCAAAGAAATCTGGCCAACGAGTAAAAGGTAGCGCCGCGTTTCCGTTTCCATCGTGCAGGCTCGAAAACCGATCTGAGTCGCACTGCGCACTCATTCGAGAGGTTAAGATGCACGTTGCTTCTGACGTGATTGGAACGTTCATCTCGCGTTATGTGGAAAACAATGCGACCGACGTGACCTGCAGCGAGCGTCGAAATTCGGAGTTTTAAGCCAATTTTGACGTGAAATGGCGCGTCGCGTCAGAAATAACGTGCATCTTAACCTCTCTAATGTTGATGTTTCTTACACCATAGTTTCCAAGTCGCAAAGGGTGATGTACTGTCGTTGACATGGAAATCCGGTCGCACGTCTAGCGGCCCCAGGGCGCTGGCCATGCAGCCGCTGAGCTGGTCGCATCGGATCAACATGTGCATGCACTGCATTTAACGTTCTGTACATACTGACGGCGCCGGCCCCCGGTCAATCGACTGGATTTCCATGCCCACGACAGTAGCATAGCAGCACGCTACCACTAGTGCAGGGGTGGAGTTTCAAATGAATATAGACACCAAGGTTAAAATGAGATCCATACGTACACAGTACTCGTATGTATTCTAAAAATCAGAATGCACGTGAAAAGGTGGGCAAGGATGCTGCAGCATGGGCGAAGGAATTCCAAAGTGCTGTCAAAACATGTTCTAACGATAAGGAGATCAAGTGAAACGCAAGAGAAAAGACATGGGGAAATCCGAATCACAATGTATCATGTGTGTCCTCTCCTGTTATTATTGTCATCGCGTGTGTCCGTGCTTGAAAGAGAGAGAGAGAGAGAGAGAGAGAGAGAGAGAGAGAGAGAGAGAGAGAGAGAGAGAGAGAGAGAGAGAGAGAGAGAGAGAGAGAGAGAGAGAGAGAGAGGGTGTGTGTGTGTGTGTGTGTGTGTGTGTGTGCGTGCGCGTGTGTGCGTGCATGTCTGAAAGAGAAAGTGAGAGAGGACGATACAGAGAATGACAGAGCAGAGAGCAGGGCGGGATCTGCAGGGCCAGTGTACGTCATCGTGCTCCCCGTAGAAAAATCCAGCAAGGCCACCAAAACTAACTGTATCCAGGGTACTTGCATGACAGCTTGGCACAGCACCCCCCCCCCCCCCCCACACACACACCCCATATCACACAATGTTGATGAGCTATTTTCCTGTGT